CTGGTTATTTCTTGTGCCGTGACCTCTAACAACCTTATGACCGGCGTTTTTAGTCGGGGTAACGGTTTCTCTGCCGTTTCGTTAGTCATCTTAGATCGTACTGCAAACGAGATGTTAGTATCAATCTGCGCAGGTTTGCTGGGTATCTTCTCCATTTCGGTAACTAGGTGTTCCCCACCTTTTGGCTCTGGCACAGAGCAGTTGTTCACGGCTGGAAACCTACTATCATTTTCACGACGGCTCTCTGTCTTGCCCACAACGTGGTCTTCACGACCATGCATCTCGTTAGTTTCTGTTAACCACTCTGGGTCGGGACAGTCTACTTTTCTCACACCCGAGATGCTACCTAATATTAAATCGTAGAGTGGATCCTCAACACATTTTGCATTTACTTGTCCTGTGTAATAGGGCGTCTCGATGTATATGATGGCTTCAGGCATCATCCTCACAGTCCTGTCAACTAGAATTACCCCCGTGGACTCCCCGGTAAGCTCATTGTCGTGCACCAGACTTTTTCTTATTAATACCGTGTTTGTACCACTGTCCTTGAGCACGTCTATTTTATTGCCATGAAATCGACCTTCCACCACTGGCATCATTAAATGCAAACCATACTTTGCATCAAGGTCGTCAGTGCTCGCCTTCACTTCGTTTTTTGTCCTCTCTTGGTACTGGTTTCCCTCTTTGGGCTCGGTCGATGATGCCTCCCCTTGGTTTAAAAAACATGCCACTTTGTTTCTCGGCACGTTTCTGCATTCCTCAGCCTTGTGTCCAGTTTTTCCACATTCCCAACAACGAATTCCCGCCTGTGCTTTTCGATACCCGCTTCTGCACTCACTAGCTTTATGCCCTAACTTATTGCATAAGAAGCATTTGGGAGCTGTTCTTACTGCTCCTCCCGTTCGAGCGCTAATCATGGATTTTCCTTTACAGAAGTCGGGGTCCTCTCCTGTATTAGCATCCTCCTTTGTTTTTCCCAGATTCCCTTTCCCTTGTGCTTCTAAGTACTGGTCCGCTAATCTCGCCATTTCTTGTGTAGAATCAACCTTGCGTTCTTTTAAAAAAATGGCTAGCTTAGAATTACAGCAAGCTAGGAACTGTTCGCCTATTATTCTATCTCTTACACCGTCGAAGGTCTTCGCTGTTTCAGACATTTCGAGCCACCTATCAAAATAATTGCTTATTCGCGAGCAAAATTGTAACCCAGTTTCAGCTTCTTCGGGTTTACTTTTCCTGAATTTCTCCCTGAAGCCATCAGCGGTAAGCCTAAATCTTTGAAGTAGCGCAATCTTCACTTTTTCGTAATCTAACGAATCTGATGCTGGCATACGACCAAACGTTGTCAGTGCTTCTCCCACCAGACAAAGGCTCAAAGATGTCGCCCACTCCTCCTTTGCCCAGTTTTGGCCTACTGCGATTCTTTCAAACCTGTGCAAGTACGCATCGAGGTCGTCTCGTTTCTCGTCGAAAGGCGGCATTAGTTTTTTCAAACATGCACTTCTTCGCGGTGGTACCTCCCCTCCTTCGTTGTCCGTTGGCCGATCATTTGAAGTTTCGGCTTGTGCTAGCCGAATCTTTAGTTCTATCATCTCTCGCTCACGCTCGAAACAAGCTCGTTCTCGTTCTGCCTTCGCTTGTTCTCGTTCTGCCCTCGCTTGTTCTCGTTCTGCCCTGGCTTGTTCTCGTTCATCTTCGAGTTTGGCATCTTCTCTAGCTAGCAAACTTTCCTCTCTAACGCGTTTCTTCTCCTCCTCAAAGAGAGTCATTGTTTCTTCTTTCGTCAGCCCCAAAGAACTACTCATCGTCAATATTTTTTCTAAATCCATTCTGACAACCTCAGGCTGGTAACTGCTGACCCGTGAAACAATCCTCTCTCACTCAGGGGTTGTATCCTGGCAGGCTCGCCAATATTGTCGTGGTTCAGGTCAACCGTCTGAGTAAGATAGGAGAGTGCACGGTCGGACGGTATAAATCAATTTATATAACACAGCGACATACGTAAATAGAAAAGATGCCTATTGCCTAAGTATTTACACATGTACAGTTAGAAATGTCTTGAACTCCCACGTCCCCGTTCAGGTTGATGACCTCCCGCGTTGGGGTCACCAGTGTCTGTTGAAACTTGATGATGGGTTCTCGCCGGAGCCAGTTGCTTTTACCAGGGGTCGCTGCCGAGGTAATTCCGGGTTCTGTTGGAGGTGGCCCAGGTTTTTCTCCGAGAAATTTCCCGCCTGGGGATCAGGGTTCGTCGCCTTGATAGTTTGGATCTCTGTAGAGGGCTGCGGGTCCGAGTTTGGGTGGAGCCGGCCTGCGTCTGCGGTTCACGGCCGAGGACTGCAGCTTTCTCAGGTCACCATCGAATTCATCTGCCTCTGCGGTTCGCGGCCGAGGTAGGTAGCGTTCTCGGGGCACCGTCGAATCTGTCCCTCTGCTCGAGCCCCACTTTCTCGAGCTTCTCCTTTTTTTTCTTTTCTTTTTCTTCACTTTCCACCGCCTAGCATGGCACCTCTTCTTTCCTCTTCTTCTTTTTTTTCACCGCGTAACGTGACACTGTTCAACCTAATCTGGGCATTGTTTTGTATCGATGTTGGATTTAATGGCCACATTCAATTCTTTGTATTTCTTTCTGCTACATTGATACGTATTTTACTGGGTTGTCTGGCCCTAGCACAACCAAGATGCTGCTTTTGTATGCCAGCATTATTTATATTTGTTTGTAAAGCGAATAAACTCATTATTATTAAAATCTTTATTCTACGTACGAGCGGAAAATTAGGAGTCATCATGCTTGCCGGATATTTGAAACTCACGATAAGTGGTCCTTTTGAATTCGCGCGCTACGCATGATGCGACTGAATCGATGTCAAAATGTTCTTAGTGACCTCAGCTCGAGGTTTTATAAACTGGGACTTGGAGGACCTCCAGTGAAACCCTGAGCGCCCAATAAGCACTCCGAGCGCCTTTTCTTCCGACCTGTCACAGAAAGGTGTCCCCGAGTGCGGACTCGTCGGGATGAAATGTCACTCCGAGCGGGATGTGCGATTATCGGATCCGAAGAACCGCGTCCGGATATCCGGTTTATGTATACCCATTATCCGATGCTTGCACGTGCGTTGATAAACAATCAGTGGAGCCAGATCACGTGACTAAGAGCTTGGCGCATTAGCGTCATCTATTCTGGTCCCCTATGGCACCCTTGACGGCGAAGCTGTGCGGCGGATCCCGGCACTATACTGCCACATTGGACGCACTGCGAGATGCACCGCACACGCGTCCGCGGCGAGATAAACATTGCGAAACAACGAAAGCATAACCCGGAAACGTTTTCATAGTCGGTTGCTTTTCGGGAAAACAGTCGGCGAGCGTGCAGCCGGTCAGACGGGTGTAGCCGAGGGAATAAGTGCACTGCCGCGAAATTACTTAGTCGTCGTCATACACGCAGGCGTGGCGTCCACACGCTCCGATCCATTACATCCGGAAATATAATTCAGTTTCCTCGCTTATTTCGTAATCGTCTTTTTGTTTTCTTTTTCTAACTTCCACTGACACGTAGGATTACAGCGGGAGTTGTGAAGTCGGCGTTCGTAAGGGCGAGAGATCCTTGTTTTTCGGTCCACCCCTTCCGCTTCTTTACTGTCATGTGGGGATAAAACGTTGTAAATTTGAATTATTTTCTCGATGATAACGCGAAAATGTCATAATCAATGACGTTTTCACACACTTCTAGTACCTTCTAGCTCGTATATATGTATATTTATATATAAATTATATTCCTCTTAGTAAGCTAATTATAAAAGCGCATATAACTTGCCACATTAAAGACTTACTTCGTTTACTAAAAGAAAAAGAAAACAGTTGTTGTGCTAAATACAAGCGTATTGAGAACAGTGCTATACAGCTCTCATCGACGACTACTTTCCAATGACGCGTACAAACTTCAGCAACAAGGTGCAATGCTTTGCCCCTCCCACTAAGACGAGAAACTTTGGCACGGCTGACTTCAAGTCGGCGCTGATTCGACACTTCCTCTGTCAACTCCTTGTCCCTGCACGTTAAATGTGTCGTGGGGCTCTGGGGTTTTAAGCCGAAGCATTTCACCATAAGCGAAAACAGAATTGCTCAAGCTTGCGGATGGATTGCTTGCGGCATTGTGGCAACGAGGAAACAAGAATAAAAAAAGAAAACGCCTCGAAAGGCAGCTGCTTTAAAATAACTGCTTACAGCGTGACCTGATCTGATATTGACTTGTTTATATTGTTAGGAATGTTTTATTTAGTTAGGCTTTCAAAGACAGTTCAAATGGCGCAGAAGAAAAAAAAAAAACTTGAACGCTGCGATGCTGGAATTCTATTAGCGCGCGCAGCGAAAATATATTCTGTTGTCATAAAATCGCTTTGATAAAAATAACCTCATGTCCGGCAAAGATGGAGAACGTGATAAGAAAGCATACATAATAATATCAAGCTCGCGAAATATGATCGGGGGATTGTGAAAGACCCAGATATTCTGCGAGCCTGGCAAACGCTAAATAGATTCGTTCGTCAGTGACCCAACGAGATGGTATCTGAGCGTTGAATTGATGTATGCCATGACCTTGCAAATAACAGCATACAAGTATCATGCGAGGAAGAGGGTCGCGAGGGTGCATGTGACACTACAAATAAGTGGCCCCGGCGTAAACGCATGCAGCTCACACAAGACCCCAAAACTTAGGTGAATGTAAACAAGGGCGAGTGAAGACCGGGATCCTGCTTGGCTCCATTTATACGTTCAGAAAAACTACGAGGAAGTAAGCGTGTAGACGTCGTTGTCGCAACCAGAGCAATGCACACGGTATGCAAATCCGTGGTATCCGGAGGGGGACACAAAGTGGCGTTCGTGTAACGTCACCCCTCGCGCGCACACACGGCGCGGAGAGAGGCGAACCGTAATGTGGTCACCCCGTGTTGTGTTCCCAGAGTCTGGGCGGAGTGCTCTAAAGGCGTCTTGTTGCACCGCAGATGCCCTAAGCGGACCCCTTTGCGTCACGAAGCTCCGACCAGCGCAGAATGGACCCGAGCAGAGGAGCCACGGCCTTCCACAGGCCGTCCTTCACGCAGGTGAGCCGAGGCAACCCCTGCGGGACACCGTGGCCTCTGCTTTTGCGGCCTCTTTGCGGGCAAGCTGTCTTTAGGGTTATCACTTTAAAGGGTTTATTTCTTTATGTATTTATTTATTTTTGTTTTATTCCTTTATGTACCTCGAGGACCCGTTCCCGAGTATTAACATGGGCCGGAGGGGATGGGGGGGGGGGGGGGGGGGGGGGTACTTCTACTCCAGAATTCTGTAAAAAAAACACAGTAAGAACAAAGCACGTACCCGGTACCAGCATACTATTCACACAATTCCAGTTCTTATTGCAATATTTAAGTCTCATCACTATGATTAATAAAGACAGTGAGCATTTCTTGAAATTTATAGCGGCGTAACTTTCTGCAACAATACTATTTGTCAAAAGATTGCATTCCGCCTTTACAAGCAATAGTATTATATTAGAAGCTGCCAGCTTTTAATGCATTTTGCGTGGAAACCTTTTGAGTTACCTAATTTCCGAGGTAGGTAAGGCGACTGCGTTCTGGTTTGTTTTATTGCCAAATAGGATGGCAAACACATTCTTTCTTAGAAGGAATTGCCAGTATTACATAAAGTTCCTTGCTTTGGCGGATATCAGCTAAAGAAAAACAAACAAAAAAAACAGTAATCTAGACTTTTTCTTTTAAGAAGCTATTTATTTATGTACAGCGAGGGTAGAAAGAATCTGTTGGCTTATCCAAAAGCTACGTGTTTCCGAAATTTGAAGGAAATTACTGAGCTGCTTTTCCAGCGCCCGAGTGACAAATTACCAGTCAGTGTATACGGAGTCTGACGCAGAAGAGAGCTACTGCGCATGCCCAGAACGACAGACAGCAGACAAACTCAGCAACAATTATTGGAAAGAAGCATCACAAGTGCAGTAACTATTCAAGTGGAAGTTATACGGTAAAGCAAACCCTAGAGACTTTTTTTTTTTTTTTTTGCTATACAGTACGCGAATTGTTTTAGTAAGAATATATAGTCCCCCCAACCACTCCCAAATGGCATCTGAGATGTTGATGATGCACCTAAAAATTACTAAGAAAACAAAGAACATCCAAGACACGTGCACGGCATGTTTGTTAACCAACGAACCCAAACCCAAGTTAGGACGCGGTTGTCTCGAAGCAGCGAAAGAATCGCGCACCGATCAACGCCGCGAGCCGCGTACCTCCGCATCGCGAGCGCGGGAATCCCGACACAACGGTGCTTCCCGCTGACAGATTACACTAGTCATTGGCGAGGACGTGGCGCGCAATCTCCAGATGGTGGCGATTTCACCTCCAGCCGTCCGCCTTGAGGAACTGGGGCACGCTGTCTCATTAACGTCGTGCTCGCGGGTCCAGCGGCCCGTTGTCCCGCTCACGTTTGCAACCGAGCTAGCCGCGATGCGGTAAAACCCCCCCGAGGTCCTCAGGAATCTCCTCGGCGAGACAAGCGTGGTTATCCAACGCCACCGGCGCCCCGTCACTCTCGCTCGTTGCCAGCCGCGACCTTCTCCCAGTTGAACGGCGCCTATTTTTATCGCCGTACGCAGATCTCCCGCGGTGGCCTCCGATCGCACGTGCGCTCGATCGAACCGGCCTTAGTTAAACGCGGTGTCCGACCGGTGGGGGCACGGGCCGTACGGCCCTGCTCGCTCCCGAGAAATAACGTCTCCATGCGCTCACCTTCGACCCAAACGGAAATTTATATGCCGGGCGACGACTCACTAGGCAGAGCCTGCCTGCATCCGCTTTCCCGCAGAGCATTTGGAGCGCTCGACCGCGATCGCAGCCAGTGACGAGCTCCGAAATTGGCCTAAAACGGAAGCTTGCCACGTGACACTGACGTTTCACACGCTCACCTCGTGCTCGATGTCACATCGCTCACTGTATTTTGAGGCCTCTAACCAAAGCCTGGCAGATCGCCACGAGAAGCGGCCGCCAAAATGGAAAAGGTGGAACGGCAAACAACGGATGAGTGGAGAGCCACGTGACTGGCGCCCCGCTGCGGCGAGACGCCGAAACACACTTCTCCCGAGCGAACAAGTGTGTTTCGGGTCCTCGGCGCTGCAAAAGCTGTGCGCTGACGTCCAGGCTCTTCGAGAAATGGCTCTTTGATGCTCTGTGCTACCAGATCCTCGTGCTCCAAATCTGCGACCGGGCACTCATGGCTCCGTCGTCAAACTGCCAGGCTTTGTGATTAGAGAGGAGGTTATGCTCTAACAGGCTGGATTGCTCGCGCGCAAGTGTATGGGACTACCTAAATGCACTATACTTTGTTTCAGCTTAGCTCCGAGTGCAGCCAAAGGCTGGGGGACGGTTCACCACTTAAAAGAGAGCGTTCATACGCATCACGAAGTAGTTTGCAAAAGTGAAATTTTAGAAGTACTTTGTGTGCAAACATTCATCAATTTTACAGTTCTGTCTGCTAAGGACTAATTATAAAAAAATTAATAAAATAAATGACGTTCCAAGTTTTTTTTATAATTGGCTCCGTAAGTGTGACGTCATGGGTCCAAACAAACCGTTGCTAGGGTCGTTGTTATGGACAAATACATGTGACTAGGTTTCGCTACGAAAACCCGACCGTTCAAAAATCAGGAGCAGGATTTAAACTTCTAAAAATCACAGATATAGGCAGCTTGAATGTCATATATGTTTCGACAGAAGTGTGCCGGCAATCGCTCGTTTCTGAAATATTTACGGCTGCAACTTCCGGTCCTCAAGATGCCTGCAGCAGACGACGAATGCAAGAAGTGTGCCGGCTGCCACACGCCGGCAAGCCAAGCGGGCGCCGTCGTTTGAATCGTGTGAATAAGGACGATATTCTGATACTGCATTTGTTCTGAATATGATGATTTTCAGTAACTCAAAGAGAAAGTGGAGTGCGATGCAAAATACGCTTTATCGAAAGTCCGGGCGCCGATCGAGATGATCGTCTGCTAAACGATTGGACCCGTGAGAAAAGCACTTCAGGCGATCGGTCGAGATCTCAAATTTTGTTTGTGGACTCAAGCTATGTGAGGGTGCGTCGTACTTGGTTGTAACCATCGCTGCAATGGTTACTGAAAAATCTTGATAGACATGAAATTTTTTAATAACCTGACAACCTCAATAATAATAATAATAATAATAATAAACGAATTACCTTGACGGCGTACGATTTGTTTCTCCTACTGGCCTGCACTACGCCGGTAATGCACTTTAGGTCGTCGTCGTAAATGATCTGCGTGACGTGGTTTTTAATTTTACGGCATTTTCACTTCTCTGAACTAAGCTAGGTTCTTCACAGAAAAAAAAAAGAAGAAAAAAAAACGCACAATTGCGGAGGCCTCTATGGCCACGGCAATGCACTTGTTTTTGTCGCTTGTTTACCGACGCAATTCAATGAAGACGCCCGCTGCAACAGAGGCCAGCAAATCTATCGTGTCTTCTGCTACCAAAGCAAAGTGGAGTGGAATAATTCAGAAATGGCTTTCATCGTTGTAATACGACACTGAGACAAGAACATCTTCATAATTAGATATCAAGAAGTTAGGTTGCTTACAAAAAATTATTTACTTATCTGTAGGCAAAAATCTAGCCTCATGTGGAGACTCCATGTATTAGTCCATAGCAACGCCCCTAGCAACGGTTTGTTTGTACCCAGACGCCATGCTGTGACGTCATCACTTACGGAGTCAATATAGTAACTATTATGCTTCGACGAAAAACGCCTACCTGCTGGCAACACTGATGCGACTACTGCACGTTTTTCTTTCCTGTTTTTTCCTGTGATTTCGTATTCTCAACGCCCAAATCGTGGGCTTCAAGTTCAACACTTTTCTCCTCGCCAAGTCTTCCAAATTTCCACCGAAAACGCAAGAGAAGAATAAAGGCACGTTTTAGCGTCAGCCGGGAGATCGTGAACAATGTATACTTTACTTCGTCAGGAGTCTCAAACCGCGTTGTACCCCGAAGTTGTCCAACCAACATCGGAGCTAACAGACGTTGGGAAATCGACAAAAAGTTGATCCGCCAACGGCGGGAAACGCTCTCCGATGAAAAACGCGTCAAAGTCGGGTGTCTAGGTGGCGGTCAGAGGCAAAAGCATGCGGTGTCGGTGGAGCACCGAGAAAGCGTGTACCCCAGTGCGACCGGATGGACGCAGTAAGCATTTTGTTACTACTATGCGTTTGCGAGAAAGCGCGCTGCTTTGTTCGCAATCGGAGTCAGGGCGGCAGTCTACCCAGAGAGCTCGCTCAACCCGCTTTTTCCGTGGGGTCCGGACGGCACCGCGGCAAAGAGGAAGACCCCGTCTGGGCACCGAACGTTACAAACTTCCGTGTTCCAGCCCCGGCCTTTCCTCTGCCTGCAGTGTGACGGCCCCCCGCGAAGTCCAGCAGCCACCGCACTGAACCGGAGTTTTATTTCAGGACGCGAGATGGCATTTTTAATTATGTAGCAGACGAGCTGGCATTGATAGTACCGTAGCAAACGAAATGTAAATCTTCGACACTTCTGCACCCCTGCGCAGGTTCCGCGCGAAGTGTTATACGAAGTGCAGGCGAAGTTGCGCCCTATCGCCGGCGTTTGATTGGCCCCGACCAACCGTAGCTTTCGCTACGCTCGGAGCAAAGCTCAAAACGAAGTATAGCGACTTGCGGTATCGAATTTGTTATACGAGCACCAACTTGTGAAGAATTCCTGGGGAAAACTCTGTGTCATCGTGCATATACCTTGTTACTGTGGACGTTTTTGAAAGCACAGTGACAAAACTGCCGAATTCACGGAAAACTGGGCAGATCATTACTTCATAGCCGGCCGGGTAATTCCGAGAGACAGTGACAAAGACTCCGACAAAATAGTAAAGGAGGTGAACGTAACTGATCAAACGCGGTTTGAAATATAAAGTTAAAGACCACGCGTGGTACGGTTATTTCCTTCGGTTGAGTCAGAAAAGCTGTATGACAATTTTTCTTGAGTTATATTCACTACTCTCCTCGATGTGTAAAAAAGGGTTA